GTATGAGAAAACAAAATGTAGTCATATGATAGCTGAGTATGTATTAGATCAGAAAAATAAAGTTCGATGATTAGAATATTTAACACTGCCAAGCTAATATAAATGGGCACATGCATTTATTTTTATTGTAGGAAGGCTTACCAATTTAATTGGCAATTTCACTTGCCCAGACTTCCTGTGTCAGGAATTGGACTTCTACTAGGTGGAAAAGATATTTATGCCTTAAAGGTTCATCTGTAGCTCAGTTTCCATAGGCAACTAATTCTTCTTTCATTGACAGACTCTTTCTATAACTATGTTAATGAATTCAGTCCCAACAGAGTAAAATCCTCTGACTTTACACCCCTTAGGTTTACAACGTTTAAGTTTCAGAAGGCATCCCTCCTTCTCTTAGTTTTATGTATTTATAAAGGGTTATATAAAACTAAGAGGGTTATATTTTTGTAGCCATTTTTCTGGTTATCCCCATGAGAATACGTGTGTGTGTGTGTGTGTGTGTGTGTGTGTGTGTATTGATACATACATATATATTTTATTTATATGTGTGTATTGATACATACATACATATTTTATTTATGTGTGTATTGATACATACATATATATTTTATTTATATGTGTGTGTATATATATTTATATAAATATATATATATATGCAAGACTATATGTATACAGTCTTTTCCTATTTGGAGACCCACTAAAGTATTTTTTCTTCCCATTCTTTTACTTCAGTGATGATATACAATTAATTCTGTTATACACAAATACACATATACATACATATACGCATACATATATATTTATGTGTGTGTGTATATATTCTTTAATAATCAAAGTTACAATTTATTTTGAACATATTATTTGCCAGAATTTATATGGCATACTTTGCATTCACTAACCTATTTAATTTTTAATATCTAAATGGGATAATTATTATTGTTTATTTTTCTTTTTTTTTTCTTTTTTTTTTTTTTTGAGACGGAGTCTCGCTGTGTCACCCAGGCTGGAGTGCAGTGGCCGGATCTCAGCTCACTGCAAGCTCTGCCTCCCGGGTTTACGCCATTCTCCTGCCTCAGCCTCCTGAGTAGCTGGGACTACAGGCGCCCGCCACCTCGCCCGGCTAGTTTTTTGTATTTTTTAGTAGAGACGGGGTTTCACCGTGTTAGCCAGGATGGTCTCGATCTCCTGACCTCGTGATCCGCCCGTCTCGGCCTCCCAAAGTGCTGGGATTACAGGCTTGAGCCACCGCGCCCGGCCTATTGTTTATTTTTTAAAGACGGGGACACCAAGGCTTGTGTTACCCCTAAGCCTTGGTGTCACCCCTCAATGTTGCCCATTCTCCATAGACTGTATAATAGAAGTTAAAATTACTTTTGCCCAAAATCAAATATCTTGCATCATATTGCATTCCTTTTGGCAACCTGCATTTTTCAGCAGCCTGCAATTTCCCTATAACCGGAAATTTTGAACCTCCATGCCGTCATGTGTAATATTTTCTACATGAAAAATGTGTCATTTCAACTTATCTAACTCCTGATTACTATTTAAGGTAAGGTAGAAATGCCAACTTTGTCAAGAAAGTTTTAGAAAAAAGTTGAAAATAACAGTCTCTTGGTCCACACTCACATAGCCCTTTGTTTATAATAAACACGATATTATATTATTCTATTAATAGTCAGCTGTTTATTCAACTCCTTCACCAGACTCTAACGGTCGTTAGGGACTTGCTAATTCATTTACTAATTAATTAAAGAAATTTGAGGAGAATATCAAGAATAACCCTCTGCTTGTTCCCATCCACCATTCATCGCTCACTTTCTTAATTGTTCATTCACAGTGTACATATATAGTGGTGTCAGAAATGTTAAGCCATACCTCCATGAGAAACAACTTTATTAACTGGAGCACTGTGCTTGTATACACTTCCTTTCACCTTTAATTTTACAGTCTCCTCTCATTTTTGAAGTTCCTTATTTCAGCACGTTTTCCCCACCCACCTCAGTGAGGTTGTTTCATACATTTTCAATACAATTATAATATTTTGTCACACTCTGCATTCCATCGTGCAATCCCTCTACTTCCTAAATGATAGTTTTTTTTTTTCAAGTTGAATAAATTAATGCTTCCTCCTCAAGCTCAAAACTCTATGGATTTCGAGAAATGCATACTGTTATGTCCGCCATTTTAATATCATAAAAAATAGTTTCAGTATAGTAAAAAAAAATTTCTTTCTTGTTTCACATAATTTAACCCTACTTCCTCTCCCCTCACCTCTGGAAGCACTAATCTTTTTACTATATTGTTTTTCTTTTTTTACCATGTCATATAGTTACAAACATTTGGTATGGGGCATTTGCAGACTAATTTCTTTCACAGAGCAATAAATATTGAATATTCATGGATTTATTCCTGTAGATTTATATGTCTTTCTTCTTTTCTGAGTGTACCACAGTTTATCAACTTAAGGTTTAAGGCCATGTAGGTTGCTGTCAGTTTTTTATAATTATAAAAAAGAGCTCTGATAAACATTCACATTTTTATGTGATATAAATTGTCAGATCACTGGGATAAATATATAGAAGCATGATAACTGAAGAGCACGGTGAGACGATGCTTAGATTTGTAAGAAACTGCCAACCTGTCTTCCAGTGTGCTGGTACCATGTTTAAAATTCCCTTCAGCAAACAGCTACTATTGCTCTACATTTTCACCAGAATTTGAAATACTTCGGTTCATGGATTTAAGCCGTTCCAACTGATGTGTGGTAGTAACACAATTGTTTTAATTTGTGTTTCTCTAAAGAAAAAAAAATGCTGTTGAGCATGTTTTTATATGCTAGTTGCCATGGGTATTTTGGGGGCAGGGGTGAGGTGTCTTTTCAGATTCTATGCATATTTGTAATTGGCTTGTTTGCTTTCTTATTATTCAGAGTTATTCATAGTGTAGATATCAGCAGTTTATTAGCTATATGATTTACAGATATTTTCTCCTAGTTTGTGGCTTGTCTTTTAACTCTCTGGAGTCTTTCACAGAGCAGAAAATTCCGTTTTAAATTTAACAAACTCTAACATCATTTTTTTCTTCTGTAGCTAGAACTTTTGGTATTAATATTATATCTAAAAATCCATGATCAAACCTAATGTCACTCATAACATGTAAAGCATACTTTCTTTTTTAACTATTCTAGTGGTTTCCCCAGAGTATCCAATACACATTTGTTACTAATCTAAGATCACCTTCAAATAGCACTCCACCAGTTCATATATAGTTCAGATACCTTAATAGAAGAGTCCCAGTTCATCCTTCCCATCTTCTGTAACATTACCATCAGTCATTTCACTTACCCACATGCTGTAACTGCCTAACACATTTACCAACATTACTTTAAACAAACATGTAGTTTACACAAATTTAGAATAAGAAGAATAAAATGTTTTATTTTTCTGTCGTTTTTTTTTTTTTCCTTTATCAACACACTTGCTTTCTTATTGTAAATACAAGTTTCTGACCTATATCATTCCCCTTCTCCATGAATAGCCTCTTTTAACACATTTGCAGGAAAGTTTTCTGGCAATGTATTTCCTTAGTGTTTTATTATCTGGTAAATTCTGATTTCTCTTCTGCTTTTGAAGTATAATTTTGCTAGATACAGAATTATAAGTTGGTGCATTTATTCCTTTAACACTTTAAACATTTCCCTCTACTCTCTTCTTGCTTGCCTAGTTTCTTACTGGAAGTGGGCTGAAATCCTTGCCCTTTTTTCTCTACAAGGAATGTAGATTTCATTCCAGATTCTCTCAAGATTTTCTCTTTGTCTATTTATTGATTTATTTTATTTTATTTGTATTTTCTCTTTGTCTATTTATTGATTTATTTTATTTATTGTACAGATAGGAAATGCTCTGTCTGGTGCTGTATTTTTGTTGTTTGTCATGAATGATATTCTCTGAGCCTCCTGGATCAGTGGTTTGTTTCATGTCATTATGCTTTAAAATTTCTTGACCATTACTCATTTAGATAGATTCTCCTCATTTGTCTCTTTTTCTTCTTTCTGCTATTCCAGTTACCTATTTTGTACAACTTTAGAAACTGCCCAGCAGATCTTAGATGTTCTTCTTTTTTTTTTTCATTTATTTTCTCTTTGCACTTTGTTTTGAAAAGTATTTTTGACCTATCTTTAGTTTGACTAATTCTTTCCCCAAACATGTCTAGTCTACTAATCAAACCATTGATAGCATTTTTTAAAAATTCTATTGGAGTTATTTTATTTTCTAGCCTTTTCTTTTGGTTCTTTGTTAGAATTTTCATCTCTCTGCTTACACTAATACTCTTTTCCTGAATATTTTCTACATTTTCCACTAGTGTCCTTAACATCTTAATTACAGCTATGTAAAATTTCTTGATTGCTATTTCCAAAATATGCATCATCATCACTGAGTCTTGTTCTGATGATCATCCTCTCTTTTCAGATTGTGATTTTTTTCCTTGCCTTTTACCATGTTTTATAATTTTTTTTGCCATTGCTGAGAGCCAGACATGTTGTATTGATAATAGATACTGAGATAAATTGATGCTGAGATAAACTGATACTGAGATAAAGTTAAACTGAGGATATATGGTAATCTGTCTTGGAGTTGGACTCCATTTAATATTTGTTACAGCTCAAGTTTCTGAAGATTTCAAATTCCTCTAGTGTCCTTGTTTTTGTCTCCTCCGTTAACTTTGGGTTTCCTTAAGTACTCATCTTCAAACAGTGTCTGTTTCTTGTAGCTCTTTTGTCTATCCCCTTATATTGGAGTCATGTTGGTTTAAATTTTATACTATAAGATAGAAAAATATGTTCTATAGTGGTCTGATTGAATATCAGTCTTTCAGTGGGCCTATGTCTTAGGTTATGACTTTTACAACTGTTTTGCCAGTAGTTTATCTTTTGTCCCTATACAGGACTGCCAGATTCGTACGCCCACTGAGCAGAAATAGACCAATACACTGAGACATCGTAATTTGCAGCAGAAAAAGGGTTTAATAATCACAAGGCCAGTGGGCAAAAAGATGGAAAGAATCCTCAAGCTTCAAATCTGTCTGCTTGCGGGGTTCTGGGCAAGGGTTGTTAAGGAGATTGTGGTGGGCCGGGGTCTGGAGAATTGGGGTTGTTGACTGGTCAGGTCAAGGAAGATTAAGTCATCACGATGTGAAAACTGCATTCTTCCGTGAGCCGGCTCCTTGCTGGGCCCTTCAGACCAACTGGCATCAACAGTTTTATCAGTATGCCTAACATAAAGGAGAAACTCAAACAGAAAGCATATCATCTCACATGCCTTCGATTTTATCTATAGAAAAGAAAAGGAACACAGTCTTGTGACAAGGGCTACACTATCCTGGGGGAGTAAGCAGCAACTAGCTACAAGGAAGTGGGCCAAATTGGGAAGTGGATTTCTTTTTTTTTTTTTTTTTTTTTTTTGAGACGGAGTCTGGCTCTGTCACCCAGGCTGGAGTGCAGTGGCGCGATCTCAGCTCACTGCAAGCTCCGCCTCCCGGGTTCCCGCCATTCTCCTGCCTCAGCCTCCCGAGTAGCTGGGACTACAGGCTCCCGCCACCTCGCCCGGCTAGTTTTTTTTTTTTTTGTATTTTTTTAGTAGAGACGGGGTTTCACCGTGTTAGCCAGGATGGTCTCGATCTCCTGACCTCGTGATCCGCCCGTCTCGGCCTCCCAAAGTGCTGGGATTACAGGCTTGAGCCACCGCGCCCGGCGGGAAGTGGATTTCATGATTGCCACAAATTATTTTGCAAGACTAGTTGAATTTTATTTTCTCCCTTAATTGGTTTATAATATTTTCTTTGGGACAGTTTCATCCTTCATCCCCCTTAGATGAGAAAAGAAGGCTAAATGGGGAGGTGCCAAGATGGCCAATTAGAAGCAGCTGTGGTCTGTGACTCCCACCTAGAAGAACAAAACGGCGAGTGAATTCTGCACCTTCATCTGAGGTATCCAGACTCTCTCACTGGGACTGACAAGGTGATTGGCATGAACCACAGAGAGCAAGGAAAAGCAGGGTGGATCCATGCCTCACTTGGGAGCTGCACGGGGCAAGGGGCACTCCCACCCCCAGTCAAGGGAGGCAGTGAGTGAGTATGCCACCTTTCCTGAGAAATCATGCTTTTTCCATGGATCTGTGCAACCCACAGATCAGGAGACCCCCTTATGAGCCCACACCACCAAAGCCTTGGGTGCCAAGCACAGAGCTGTGCAGATTTTCATCACTGCTCAGGATGTGGTCAGTGGCAGCAGGCTGGAGACTGTCTAAGATGACTGAGTTCCCAGGGGAAGGGATGGTTGCCATCACTGTGGCTCCAGTTGGCTCTTTTCCACTGGTGGTGCTGGGGAGACAAGGGAGGTTTACGTCAGGAGCACAGCATCTGTGGCAGATCATGGTCAGACTGCTTTTTTAGGTGGAACCTTGATCCATCCCTACTCATGGGGTGGGGCCCCTGCTGTGGGAATTTCACCAACTCCAGACAGAGGTTTATGGACAGAGCTCTGATCTTCCTGGGCAGAACTCCTGTGGGGAGGGGCAGCCACAGTCTCTGCGGTTCAGCAGACTGAGTTTTTTTCCTGCCTGCTGGCTCTGAATGGTCTTGATAGTCTGGACAAGGGAAATTCCCTCCAGTGCAGTGCACTCTCTCTGCAAAGAGGCAGCCAGAGTGCTTTGTTAAGTGGTCCCTGATCCTGTACATACTCCTTAACTGATTAAGATCCCCAACAGGGTCTCCAGGCGCCTTATACAGGAGCGTTCCTGCTGGCATCACGTCAGTGCCCCTCTGGGATGGAACTCTCAGACGAAGGAGTAGGCAGCCATCGTTGCTGTTCTGCAGCCTTCACTGGTGACAACTCCAGGTGGGGGAGGGACCAAGTGAATAAGGTCTGGAGTAGACCCCCAGCAAACTGCAGCAACCCTAAGGAAGAGGGTCTGACTGTTAAAAGAAAAACAAACAAACAGAAAACAACAACAACAAAAACAACATCTACAAAAATGACCCCACAAAAACCCCTTCCAAAGGTCAGCAGCCTCAAAGCTTGAAGATAGATAAACTCACAAAGATGAGCAAGAATCAATGCAAAAATGCTGAAAACTCAAAAAGCCAGAATGCCTCTTCTCCAAATGATTGCAATGCCTCTCCAGCAAGGGCACAGAACTGGGTGGAGGCTTGAGGTGGATGAACTGACAGAAGTAGGCTTCAGAAGGTGGGTAATAACAAATTTTGCTGAGCTAAAGTATGTTCTAAAACAATGCAAAGAAACTAATAACCATGAAAACATTATAGAAGCTGTTAACCAGAATAACCAGTTTACAGAGGAACATAAATGACCTGATGGACCTGAAAAACACAACATGAGAACTTCACAATGCAACCACAAGTATAAATAACCAAATAGGCCAAGCAGAGGAAAGAATCACAGAGCTCAAAAATTATCTTGCTGAAATAAGAAAGGCAGATAAGATTAGAGAAAAAAAATGAAAAGGAATGAAAAAAACATCAGAGAACTATGGAATTATGTAAAAAGACTGAACCTACAACTGATTGACGTACCTGAAAGAAATATGGATAACAAAACCAAGTTGGAAAACATACTTCAGGAAATCATTCAGGAGAATTTCCCCAACCCAGCAAGACAGGCCAACATTCAAATTCAGGAAATTCAGACGACTTCAGTAATATACTCCATGAGAAGATCAACCCCAAACACATAATCATCAGTACCTCCAAGGTCAAAATGAAGGAAAATTGTTAAGGGCCAGGTCACCTACAAAGGGAAGTCCATCAGAATAACAGTGGACTCCTCAGCAGAAACCCTATAAGCCAGAAGAATTGGGGGCTAATATTCAATAATCTTAAATAAAAGAATTTCCAGCTCAGAATTTTATATCTGGCCAAACTAAGCTTCATAAGCAAAGGAGAAATAAAATCCTTTTCAGACAAGCAAATACTGAGGGAGTTCAGTACAACCAAGCCTGCCTTGCAAGAGCTCCTGAAGGAAGTACTGAATATGGAAAGGGAAAACCATTACCAGCCACTACAAAAACACAGTGAAACACATAGGCCAATGATACTATGAAGCAACAACAATAACAAGTCTGCAAAATAACCAGATAGCATTATAATGATAGGACCAAATTCACAAATAACAATATTAACCTTAAATGTAAATGGACTGAATATCCCAATTAAAAGACACAGACCGGCAAACTGGATAAAGAGACAAGACCCACCAGTGTGCTGTATTCAAACGAACCATCTCAAATGCAAAGACACACATAGGCTCAAAATAAAGAGATGCAGGAAAATTTACCAAGCAAATGGAAAGCAGAAAAAGGTAGGGTTGAAATTCTAGTTTCTGAGAAAACAGGCTTTAAACCAACAAAGATGAAAAAAAGATAAAGAAGGGAATTACATAATGGTGAAGTGTTCAATTCGTCAAGAAGAGGTAACTAACCTAAATACGCATGCACCCAATTCTAGAGGACCCACATTCATAAAACAAGTTCTTAGAGACCTACAAAGAGACTTAGACTCTCACATAATAATAGTGGGAGACTTTAACACCCCACTGTCAATATGAGACAAATTATCAAAAGAGAAAATTAACAAGGATATTCAGGACTCAAACTCAGCTCTAGATCAAGTGAATCTGATAAATATCTACAGAACTCTCCATTCAAGAACAACAGAATATACATTCATCTTGGAGCTACATGGCACTTACTCTAAAATCGGTCACATAATTCGAAGCAAAACACTTCTCAGCAAATGCAAAATAACTAAAATCATGACAGTCTCTCAGACCACAGTACAATCAAATTAGAACTCAAGATTAAGAAACTCACTCAAAATTGCACAACTACATGGAAATGTATCAACCTGCTTCTGAATGACTCCTGGGTAAAAAATGAAATTAAGGCAGAAATCAATAAGTTATTTGAAACTAATGAGAACAAAGAGACAATGTCCCAGAATCTCTAGGATACAGCTAAAACAGCATTGAGGGAAATGTATAGCACTAAATGTCCACATCAGAAAGCTAGAAATATTTCAAATCGACATCCTGACATCACAATTTAAAGAACTAGAGAACCAAAAACAAACAAACCCCAAAGCTAGCTGAAGGCAAGAAATAAGGAAGATCAGAGCAAAACTGAAGGAGATAGAGACAGGAAAAACCCTTCAAAAAATCAACAAATCCAGGAGCTGTTTTTTTTTTTTTTTTTTTTAAAATTAACAAAATAGACCTTTAGCTAGACTAATAAGAAAAGAGAGAAGATCAAATAGACACAATAAAAAATGACAAAGGGCATATCAACTCTGACTTTACAGAAATACAAACAACCATCAGACAATACTATAAACACCTTTATGCAAATAAACTAGAAAATCTAGAAGAAATGGATAAATTCCTGGACACATAAATCCTCCTAAGATTGAACCAGGAAGAAACTGAATCCCTGAATAGACCAATAACAAGTTCTGAAATTCAGGCAGTAATATATAGCCTATCAACCAATGAAAGACAAGGACCAGATGGAATTATGGTAGAATTCTACCAGATGTACAAAGATGAGTCAATGCTATTTCTTCTGAAACTATTCCAAATGATTGAAGAGGAGAGACTCCTCCCTACTTCATTTTATGAGGCCAGCATCATCCTGATACCAAAGCCTGGCAGAGATACAACAAAACAAGGAAACTTCAGTCCAATATCCCTGATGAACATCAATGCAAAAATGCTCAATAAAATACTGGCAAACCAAATCCAGCAGCACATCCAAAAGCTTATCCACCACAATCAAGTTGGCTTCATCCCCGGGATACAAGACTGGTTCAACATACGCAAATCAATAAACGTAATCCATCGCATTAACAGAACTAAAGATAAAAACCTCATAATCATCTCAATAGATGCAGAAAAGGCCTTTCAACAAAACTTCATGTTAAAATTCAACATCCCTTCATGTTAAAAACTCTCAATAAGCTAGGTATTAAAGGACCATACCTCAAAATATTAAGAGCCGTTTATGACAAACCAACAACCAATATCATACTGAATGGGAAAAAGCTGTAAGCATTTTCATTGAAAAGAGGCCCATGACAAGGATGCCCTCTCTCACCACCCCTATTCAACATAGTATTGGAAGTTCTGGCCAGGCCAATCGAGCAAGAGAAAGAAACAAATGGTATTCAAATAGGAAGAGAGGAAGCCAGATTGTCTCTGCAGATGACATGATCCTTTATCTAGAAAACCCCATTGTCTCAGCTCAAAAGCTTTTTAAGCTGCTAAACAACTTCAGCAAAATCTCAGGATACAAAATCAATGTGCAAAAATCACAAGGATTCCTGCACACTAACAACAGACAAGCAGAGAGCCAAATCATGAATGAACTCAGATTCCACAGTTGTTACAAAGAGAATAAAATACCTAGGAATACAGCTAAGAAGGGAAGTGATAGAAAGAATCAATATGATTTAAATGGCCATACTACTCAAAGTAATTTATAGATTCAATGCTATTCCCCTTATACTACCATTGACATTCTTCACAGAATTAGAATAATCTGTTTTAAAATTCATATGGACAAAAAAGAGTCTGTATAGCAGAGACAACATTAAGCAAAAATAGCAAAGCTGGAGGGATCATGCTACCTGACTTCAAATTACACTACAAGGCTACCAGACCAGCATGTAAACAAAACAGCATGGGTGGTGGTACAAAAACAGACACATAGACCAATAGAGCAGAATCGAGAACTCAGAAATAAGACCACACAGCTACAACCATCTGATCTTCAACAAACCTGACAAAAACAAGCAATGGGAAAAGGATTTTCTATTTAATTAATGGTCTGGAAGAACTGGTTAGCCATATGCAGAAAATTGAAACTGGACCCCCTTCCTTACACCTTATAAATTAGCTCAAGATAGGTTAAAGACTTAAATGTAAAATCCAAAACAATAAAAATCCTAGAAGAAAATCTAGGCAATACCATTCAGGACATAGGCAGAGACAAAGATTTCATGACAAAAATGCCAAAAACAATAGCAACAAAAGCAAAAATTAACAAATGGGGTCTAATTAAACTAAAGAGTTCTGCTTAGCAAAAGAAACTATCATCAGAGTGAACAGAGAAGCTACAGAATAGGAGAAAAAATTTGCTATCTATCCATCTGACAAAGGTCTAATATCCAGAATTTATAAGGAACTTAAACAAATTTACAAAAAAAAAAACTATATTAAAAAGTGGGCAAAGGACATGAACAGGTGCTTCTCAAAAGAAGACATTTATGTGGCCAACAAACATGCAAAAAAAAACAAAGTTCAACATCACTAATCATTGGAGAAATGCAAATCAAATCCACAATGAGATACCATCTCACACTAGTCAGAATGGCAATTATTAAAAAGTCAAGAAATAACTGATGCTGTTGAGGTTGCCGACAAATAGGAATGCTTTTACACTATTGTTAGGAATGTAAATTAGTTCAACCATTGTGGAAGACTGTGGCAATTGCTCGAAGTCCTAGAACCAGAAATATCATTTGACCCAGCAATCCCATTACTAGGTATGTACCCAAGGGAACATAAATCATTTTATTATAAAGATACATGGGTGTGTATGTTCATTGCAGCACTATTTACAATAGCTAATACATGAAATCAACCAAAATGCCCATCAATGATAGACTGGGTAAACAAAATGTGGTACATATATAACATGGAATACTATGCAGCCATGAAAGGAAATGAGATGAAGTCCTCTGCAGGGACATGGATGGAGCTGAAAGCCATTATCCTTAGCAAAGTAGCGCAAGAACAGAAAACCAAACATTGCATGTTCTACTTATAAGTAGAACATGCATGTTCACATTTATAAGCATGAGTGTAACAATGAGAACGCATACACACAGGGAGAGGAACAACACACACTGGGGTCTGTTAGCAGAGGCAGAGAGAGGGAGAGTATCAGGAAAAATAGCGAATGCGTGCTAGGCTTAATATATAGGTGATGGGTAAGTAGGTGCAGCAAATTCACCATGGCACACATTTACTTATGTAACAAATCTGCACATCCTGAATATGTACCCCTGAACTTAACATAAAATAAAATAAAGAATTGGAGAATTTCTCCCTGGGAAGAAAAAAAGGTTAAATGAATCAATGCCCTTCTTCTGGGTGTAATAAGGCTCTGGTAATATCCTTTTCCCTAAAAGGTATGTTTTTGTTTTGAAGAAGGCTCTTGTATGTCACTATGATTACTATTCCTCTATCTCTGCCAGTTTTAAAAATATCTTTTTCTCAACTTTTTACCATTAGGACCCAGTGGGTTCCTGGATGCCAAATTCATGCAAATCTGAAGTAAGAAAACTGTCCCCATGAGCTTATTCCCTCACACTAATCCATACTAGGCCCCCAAAAATTAGTTAAAATTACTACTGAAGTGTTCATACAAGTTATGGCTCTAGCCACTTCTGTTTCGGGAAGTAGATCTTGGCTATGACTCCCTGGTGTGCCAGTTTCCCTCAATTTTATGGTGATGTTTGCCCTGCTTTCTCAGTTTTCTGATAGACTCAAGAAAAGTCATTGATTTTCAATTTGTATAGCTTTTTTATTATTATTATTGTAAGGCCAGGAATGACAACTTCAGAGGTCTTCACATGTTGGTAATAAATCCAAAAGTCCTGTAATGTATTTGTTTTCTCATTTTTTAAAACTAAATATTTGAAGCTATTTTATTAAGGGTTTCCTTTTCCTCAAAAAGTAAATGCATTAAATATAGTCTACTTATTCTACATTTATGAGAAAGATATTTCATTGTATATAATCAGAACTATAGACCTACAAACATTTGGACTTTATCTGAGGTAAATAATAAGAGATCATACCATTAGTTAAAATTAAGGTATAAATTTAGATCATTCTTTTTAATTGGTTATTTTTTAAAGCCGACACAACTTTAATTTACAATGTAAACTCAGGAGTGAAAGAGCATTAAGTAACTCATGATCTGTAAAGAAAATTTCAAAATTTAAAGTAAAGAATGACATTTTCCCATATTTTTGTGTTTAATTCATCATTGTTTTTAAAATATTTAAACCAGCTAAGAAGTGTGTTCATGTTTCTATTTATTTTAAAAGTGACTTACGTATTTTTTCTCACAAGGGAGGCTGATTGTAGAGGAGTTTAGAGCCTGCATAGTGGCTCCAAGTTAGCATCACTGTTCCTGGTCCTTCCATCTTTCTGCTTAGTCATATTTAACTTGTATTTATTTCTTCATGATCAGAATACGTGTCTTTCTCAACCATCATATATATGTTCTAGATAGAAAGGACAAAACAAGAGTTTATGTTGTTCTGTCAAATTATAGAAAGTTTATTTGATAATAAGTCAACTGTTAAAAAGCACCCCTTAAAAACAGAATAAGTATAGAATAAGTATACAATATTAAAATAAAAAAATTGAATAAGTATACAATATTAAAATAAAGCATGGGACTTTGCACAATTGAGAAATCTTGAGAATTTTGCAAATTTTAAAATTTTGGTCTGTGCTGTCATTTATTAAATCAGTCAAAATTTGCTTCAAAAACACACAGTTGTCAAAATGTGTCAGTGCCTTAGAAGAGTGCAATCTATAAGTAAAATAATTCTGAATATTCATCTAAAATAAAGTTTTAAAAGGTTTTGAAAATCTACTGTCTCTCTTATTTCTTGTAATCAACATATTTCTCAACAGGAAATTTCACCATTTGCCATCAAAATGTGTTGTCTGAAACTTCCACTCAAACCTTCACATAGCAAAATATTTAGGCATTCTGAGGAGATGCAAAGTTTGGTAAGCAGAATAAATATGTTTTAATGTTTAATAATAATAAATGATATTTGGAGGATTATAAAGATGTTCTTAGTTCAATTAATAGAGTAAGATTTATATATTTATCAAGGGTGCTGGGACAGACGGGGTGGCTTCCGCCTGTAACCCCAGCACTTTGGAAGCCCGAGGTGGGAGGATCACTTGAGGTCAGGAGTTCGAGACCAGACTGGCCAACATGGTGAAACCCCATCTCTACTACAAATACAAAAATTAGCAGGGCGTGGTGGTGCTTGCCTGTAATCCCAGCTACTGAGGAGGTTAAGGCAGGAGAATCGCTTGAACCTGGAACGTTTCAGTGAGCCGAGATCTGGCCACTGCATTCCAGCTTGGTCAACACAGTGAAACTCCGTCTCAAAACAAAACAAAACAAACAAAAGTGCTGGCAACAAATTATAATTCAATATTAACATTTTTTGTGTTGAAAGATGGATAAGAATTAAAACTTTGATTTTTCAACTGAGAAATTCAGTTGAGATATTTGAAATTACTGGAAAGCAAAAGGACATTTTAATGTACTGCAGAGCAGCCTAGGGTAATGTGTGTATGTATTTCTACTAAACGCAAAACGAAGTATCAGAGAAAAATTCAATAGACTTCTACTTCTAGTTCAGGATGGGAAAAGATGGAGAAGACCAGAAAAGATCTGCATAATGCACAAATCCATGTGATTTCTGAAGGGCAGTGGACACAATCAGTCTTGATAAACTGATAACCAGTTAGTGGATCTGCAGATTTCATCTGTGGTATTCTCTTTTAAATGATTTGTGTAGTGACTAAAAAACAGTCAGTAAATTTAAATAAACTTTTTTTCTGGTTTAGTAATTGAGATTGGCCAATGTCTACTATTAATTGTTAACTATTTCCTAATCAATAATCTGTCTTATATTAAACTGCACATACACATTACAAGAAATTTGAGTTACACTCACAAATAACTGAATAATATATGTAATGCTTATATAGGCATGCACATAATATTAAAATCTAGATATGAAAATAAGAAAATGAAACCACAATTTTTAAGTAATGGAACTTGTTCCAAAAAATGAAATGTGGTTATGCATTGATATGACAATTTTGAATCCTGCCCTCAGGCAGCACCTGAACACTGTGCTTTATTTATTTATTTTTTTTTTGAGACAGAGTCTCGCTTAGTCGCCCAGGCTGGAGTGCAATGGCGCGATCTCGGCTCACTGCAAGCTCCGCCTCCCGGGTTTACGCCATTCTCCTGCCTCAGGCTCCCGAGTAGCTGGGACTACAGGCGCCCGCCGCCTCGCCCGGATTGGCTGCACTGCAAGCTGATGATGGTTTCAGGACAGCAGTGTTAATAATAATGTTCAAAGTGTCAGTCTGGAGGGGAGACATTAATTGACCGTGTGAGATGATTAAGCTATAAAAACGATGTTTTATTTTGAGCATCAAAATATGATAGAGCTTCCAATGCTCTTGATGAAGTCATTATTAACACAATATGAAACTGATTTTCACTGAAGGTTTACTGTAGAGAAACTTATGTTCCATCAGGCTTTAAAATTGAGAAGAAAACAGAAAGAGTAAATCTTAAATGCCTTTCTTCCCCACCTTCCTCCTTCACCCAGTTTGCCTGCAGACCTACACAGTTACAGTCCCACATACCTCTGTTGTGTATCTCTTTGCAGATCATTTATCTTACATTTCTACATTTCCCCTTCCCCTCAGTAGATGAGCAAAAGATTGTTAAATTATGGTAGATGAATATGGACCGGATCATCCCATGAATTGCGTTCAATCATTGGTTTTACCTTTTAAAACATTCTGAATGAAATATGTAATAATTTAATATTCTAAAACTTCGTTTTTTCAGGAATTTTTCCATATACTCACCATTCCTTCTAAAACAGTGGCCAGAGCAGTTAGAAAACAACAGCATGAGAAACTGTAACTCTTACAGTTGTATTATGTCTGTATGTCTGTATGCCTTCCCGGTTCTGCAAAGATTATGAGAAATTTTTTAGGTCTGTACATAGTTTTAAAATATCCCAAAATAGTCCACATAAATAAACTCATTACCCTAATAATCTGCAAAATAGACATTGTCATCCTCAAGTAATATCAAAGAAATCTTATTTGCCTGCAAGATCTGAATCTGAAAATCCCAAAGCTCAAGTTTACCTAGCTAAAAGGATGTAAGACCGGGGACTCAATCTGGTCTATCTAATTCTGCAAAGTTTTTTGCTATAAAAGCACTATAGGAAATAAAACACTGGGCTCTATACCTTTAGATAACAAGAATATTTATGTCACTGAACCTGAAAAGATACTGTTTAACTTTCATGTTCTATTTGTCATATTTCTTTTCTGCTTTTATATGTAATTTAGGTAATAGATACCCAAGATTCAACCTAAATTCCCATCAGTGGTAGACTGGAAAAAGAAAGTACGGTACATATATACACCATGAATTACTATGCAGCCATGAAAAAGAATGAGATCTGTCCTTTGCAGCAACATGGATGGAGCTTGGAGGCCATTATCCTTAGCAAGCTAACACAGGAACAGAAAACGCGATACTGCATATTTTCACTTATCACTGGGAGCTAAATAATGAGAACACATTGACAGAAAGAGCAGCACAACAGACACTGGGGTGTGCTTGAGGGAAGAGGATGAGGTTCAGGGAAAATAAATTGTTGGGTACTATGCTTACTACTCAGGAGACAAAATAATCTGTACATCAAACCCCTGAGTGGAGAATTTACGTAAAGAATAAACCTGCGCATATTCCCATGAACCTAAAATAAAAGTTAAAATATTTAAAATAATAATAATAACAACAACTAAAAAGTGTGAAATGTTGTGATAATTACTAAAATGTCAAATAGAGATACCAGGTGAGCATGTTGTTGGAAAAATAGAATGAGTAGACTTGCTTGATGCAAGATTGCCCCAAACCTTCAATTTGTGAAAAAATGTATCATTTATGAAGTGCAATAAAGTGAAGCACACGCAAAAAACGTAAGTTTGATTAATACAATTCATTGTTGCTGAAAGATACCTTGAAATATGAGCTATAATGAGAGGCCCTAGAGGAACCTGGCTTTAAAAAGACATAGGTGCAGTGACATGATGTTAGTTACACAGCCTTTGAAGCCATGTTGTGTGAAACAGCAGTTGGATATTGATGTTGGCTACCAAAACCTGTGGGTAGACATTTAGATTTTTGTTCAGTAGAAAACCTGAACCATCTATCGATTAAGCTCTCAAAAGCTGAATAGGCTGCTGCCTGCTAAATGAAAGATGTCTCCCACCATGGAAATGTTAGGCTAGGGTCACAATTCAAGTAATGTAAATATGGATTTAACAGCCTTCCAAGATGCTTTGCCAACTTAAAGTGTTAGGCAGGTACCTTTTAAAACAGTACACAATTTGAATTACCTGTAACCACTTTTATTATTTCTGAAAGGGAATTTTGTGTGTGCGCTCCCTCTGTCATCATATGGAGTTATTTTGCCTTTTAGAGTAAAATATAAAAACAAACGCACATCACAATATGATGTGGCAAACGTTACCCAGAAGCCTTAGTAATGTTGATGCCACGGTATTGGTATGCACAGAGTATGCAACTCGCAGCTCTGCGATGTGCGCTTGTTCTTTTGCTTTCTCTCGTGTGTTCTGCTCCACATATTTTAAGAGAGTTTAATGTGGGTGTTCCAATTCAATCCCATTAGAGTACTATGTATATTATTGTTACTAAATCTTGCCTTCATAATCATTCCTATGTATGTGGTCTATTGAAAAGCAACCATTTATATCTTTAGGAGGATGAATGGGAAGTCACAGATCTAGAACAATAATCAACTTGAACTCATGCTGCTAGCCCAGGTATGGATTTTTAATATAATCTCAGGCAGGGAAGTGCTTGCAGGCATGTTTTCTCAGTCGGGAGCTGAGGAGAGCATATGCACGATGGCAGACACAAGGTACTAGCCTTTGGCTGGCTGAAAGATGAAGTCATTATAAACCTGGATTTTAAACCAAATGTAGTGCTGGCTGCTGTCTGGACTTACCTAAAATATACACTATGTTCTAAAAAGAAGACTGAGAGTCACAAAAGTAAAACAAATAAATTAGAAAGTTGGCATTTTATATTGTCATTTCTCTGTAATAAGTTATAATTGATATTCCAAAAATATACTTTGCTTTGAATTCAAATTGTTTATTTTGAACAATTAGTGCGTTCATCTCTGCATACACCTAAAGAAGATAAATCAATAAATAAAAGAATAAAAATTAATACCCTATATAATAAACACTTGACTTCTTAGTCCTGATTTCTCTTTTATTATGAAGACCAGAAGCAGAACGTTATTCTATTTTACCCAAAAATTATATGATCTTTAGAAACTCATTGTCAGCAATCATCTGTGTGTGTGTGTGTGTGTGTGTGTGTGTGTGTGTATCTCCAG